AGAGAGAGAGAGAGAGAGAGAGAGAGAGAGAGAGAGAGAGAGAGAGAGAGAGAGAGAGAGAGAGAGAGAGAATGATTCCAGAATGCTGGAAATAACTGCGTGTGTCAACTGGTCTGAACCGACTAAGCCTGACGAGATTCGATCTCAGAGCTACTGATCCTACAGTGATGGCAGGCCAGACGCCTGGACTCGAACTCGTGACCTTCAGTGAATCGATACTACCGTAGCGGTGGGCCTACCCAGAGATTCCCGGCACGACCGTTCCAGTGTCGGGAAGGCCATACACATGTTTGTGGCCAGTTTCCTGGCAAGTGGGTATTCGGGATCGGCCCAACAACGGGGCCGACGGGGAAGACTGTCAAAGAAAGTGAATTCATCAGCTGCACACACTGGATCACTACTTTTGAGTTTGACAGCTAGAACGGACAATTAATAAAATTAACATAAAAAATAGGAACTTAGTCGTGGCCAGAGACGTGGGTAGCGACTATTTAACTAACTTTCTCGACTCTGCCAGTCCTTTGGTTTGCGTATAGTGGGACCCCCCCTGATGATGGTCGGTGGCTATTGACTGAAATGCGGTGTAGGGAGAAGGCGCAGGTTTGAAGGTGGAGATTGGCACTGATGTGCCATGTGTGTACTCTCATGATCTGATGTACGAGGATACAAAATTTAGCAAGTGTTTTCGGCTTCATCGATCTATCTCATGCGAGCTTTTCTGTTGAATCTTTCGTCCCACTTGCTCTTTCTCACCTCTTGTATCAATGGCTGGGAATGCTGCACACATGAAACCATGTACGTGGTGACTACTATCCAAGGAAGAGAGAGAGAGAGAGAGAGAGAGAGAGAGAGAGAGAGAGAGAGAGAGAGAGAGAGAGAGACGGCAAAGTGTGTACAGCGGATGTTGTTTGAGACCCAATAAAAACCCTAGATGGCACTTAAAAATTAACATACAACTCTATACAAGTACTTGGTGCACATCCTTTGATCACTTGCTTGTTCATCTGTGGCAAGTAAGTTCTCCCACAGATGGACTGTTTGTTTCCGATCATGCGTTACGACGATCAATGGTCAGGAACAAAGGTTATGGGAAAGTGGACCCTGCCCTGAGAGTTTCTCACCCTGATGAGTCATATTGTAGTCTGCTGTTGTCAGTTTCCCCGAAATAATTCTATAGCCTAGGTTACCAGGGGTGTCCGCCGCCTGGCCAGGCACCCATTGGCTGGCCATCCGACTGTTTGGGGTACCCTGGGCCGGCTTAAGAACCCGACCTTTCTTTTCAAAGGTGGTAGGCCATCTCTGCACCCATCGAGTTCTGCCTGAGTCCAGGCTGGTTTGTTTTGTCTAAGCCATCTGCAAAGGGTTCGACTCCCCGAGCGAAAGACATTGCAATGAAGAGAATCCTCACACAATGGTGCTCCGCGGCAGGAGGGACAACTCCGAACTTATGCTTTCGGGGCCAGACGGGCTGGCCCTATCGACAGTCATGTGTCACCCGAGGCAGCAGTTGCCATCGCTGCAAGCACAGATTCTGACTTAGAGGCATTCAGTCATAATCCCACGCATGGTAGCTTTGCACCGCTGGCTTTTCAGCCAAGCACAATGTTGGAGGGTGAACTATCCAACACTTGGATTCTGCTTCACAATGATAGGAAGAGCCGACATCGAAGGATCAAAATTTCAAAAAGCAAATCTTTTTAAGCAGTTAGCAAAATTTGGTTATGGGGGATCGGGTGGGGGGTTCGCGGAGGAGGGGTGGGCGATGGAGGAATCATCATCATCTTCATCATTTTGCCACAACTCGGGTGGAACCGTGTGTGTTGGTGTTATGGCAGGCCCTTGAGGCCGGTAGGGCAGGTAGATGGAGGGAGTTTTGTTCTTCCCTCCCGAAGGTGAAGGGGTTGGGTTTGAGTGAGGGTGGATGAAAGGGAGACAGAGGGTTTTTTCTTCTTACGGGATTTTTTACGAAGTCACACGGCTGCAAGAAAGGAAGGAGGGCAGTTTCCCCCTGCTCATAACCATGATTTCCTAATTCATGTGTACTAATGATTGATTCTATAAGGGGGGATAATCAGAAGATCTCAGTTCACGATTTCTTGATTCGATTTCTTTCTATTGTTCATTGGGTGCTCTTCTGAATTTCTTAGTTTATGATTTCCTGATTCGCTTTCTTTGGCTCTGTGACCCAGGGGGGAGCTTGAGGCCCATGGAATTATGCCGAGGGTGGAAGGCATAACCAGATCGTCCAACACAAGCGGCGCCGGGGTACTGACCCTGTAACCTGTGTAGGGGTTTGTCGCTATGGGAATCGCCAAGGGAGGAAGGCACTTCCTATCCGACAGAACTAGGTTGGTCGGTACTGGGGAAGGTTGCGGTGCCCTGTTACCCATGCAGGGGTATGAGACCAAGTGTGCTCTGGTTCGAGGACCGAAAGTCGAGACCGACGGCTCCTTTGTTGAGGGGGGGACTTTAGGATGGTTGGTATTTAGTTTTGATCTCCCCCCCCCTTCTTTTTTTCTTTTTACAGATGGCTGTTCGGGGGTCTTAAGAATGCTTTTGGGCTCTCGGGATCCCTAGCAACTTTTCTCAGGTGGTTTTTGATGCTGTTATACTC